GCGCCCCGCCCCTTCGGCGCCCCCTCCCCGCCGGGGCGGGGAGGAGCTCGCGGTTGGGGGAGGGGTCTGAGAGTGGCTGGTGGACTGGAGAGGCCCCGGGGAGTGTGGGAGACCTGAGCGAGGTAGGGGAGCGCCGGCCGTGTGCTTACAGCCTGGTGTGCAGACAGAGGGAAGCCTAGTGACTTTTGTGATTATGTGGCCCCTGGGGGAAGTGGTCAGTTCTGGGGGCTCCTCCCTGGGGGATCCAAACACATTCTCTCGGAGGGTAAAATTGGGGTCTCGCTCACTTCCTCAGCAACCTATAATGCTGACTGCGACCTGGCACAGGGGGTGTCCTTGGTATCCCCAGGGCAGGGTACCAGGAGATACTGTGGAGCCCCGGGAGAGATGTCAGGGGCCAGTACATGGCTGGGGTCTGGTTTGGCTCTGGACCAATGTGAACCCAAAGGTAGAAACCGACTGGGAGCTGCACCCTGGCTAAAGGCTGTTAAACTGACAAATTCATCCCAAGTCCATCTCCAGGCAGTCTGGGCTGTGTCAGGGCATGGCCAAGTCTCCAGCTGTGGGGAGGCCTAGCACAGCCCTTGTTCCAGGCACCCCCACCCCCAGCGCCACCACCCCCACATTCTTTCTTTGTTGTGAAAGCAGCAAGGGGTGTAGGAGGCGGGTCAGGAGGAGTCAAGCTTTAGAAGATGGGCCCCAGCTGCTGCTCAGGCCTCAGGATATGTTGAGAGGGGATGGATAGTGCCTCGTCCCCCTCTGACTCTGGAGGGCCCCCCCAGGCCTTCTTAGACCTCCCTTCCCCCACACAGCTGGGAGGAGGAGGGGCAGCCACTGAGGGCCTCACAGGCTGGGAGCAGTGGCGCCAGGACTCCAGGGTCCTGCCACATGGCCACCACATGTCCCTGACAACCCAGTCCACTGCACCTTCTCCATGGGTTGTGGGCCTCCTCCCCCCATCCCCCAGATGCCTTCCTGCAGGCCCTGCTGGAGAGGACACAAACGGGAAGAGACGGGAGACCCAAGAATCAACACTCCTCCTTTGGCCCATCCATCACCGCTCCTCATCCTTCCGCGAAGGCCCCCACACTGCTTCCTTCCCTCTTCAAACAAGACTCAATTGGCAGAATAGTTACCTGATTCTTTTATTTAAGAAAAGTGAAATACATGGACCTGAAGTGAGGCAGCAGAGGGAAGGATAGCGGCCAGGGCAAGGCAGCCTGGCTAGCTCCAAACCCTCCTGACAGAAAAGCCAAAGCAGGCTGCACACCTGCTTCTTGCCCACCTTGGGGGCCTCCGAGTTAGCTACTCAGCGAACCAAAGGGTGGGCAAAGGATGTCCTGAGGGTCTTTCCAGAGGGAAATTCCTGAGGAGGGAGCCGAGACCCTAAGGGCAGCAGCAATCTTCTGGTTAACTGCTCCCCCTTCACTGCTCTCCCTTCTTGGGGTTGGAAGAGCCAGGAGCAATAGGGAATGCTGTGAGGGCTGTTGGGGGACCCAGCAGACCTGGGGAGGGTGTTGAATGTCAGCTGCTTGAAGAGAGGTTCATAGTGCTGGCACTGAGGCCCCGGGAGGCCTGAAACAGAAAACACCACCCCATCAACTCAGGAGCTCAGCCTCCCAAAGACTGTGGCCTGGAATCGAGCCAGCTGATGGCTGCAGTTTATCCCTGGGCCTAGAAGTGAGCCTGTAATCTCAACAGACTCTAGGGCTTTGTTTAGCCTTTGCTGGGATTTTCTAGAAGGCCACAATCTGGTAGAGAAAATAACGTGGAAGAGCTATGTGAATATTGGCATATACTCTGAATATGTTGATATGAGTAGCCATTTCCCTTTCAAATGTCATCACTTTCCTCAAATGGAGATGACTTTATATTATCCCCCTTCTAAGCTACTGAGTTCCCATAGTGAAGAATATAGTGACAGGGCCCTCCCTGGGTGGCGCAGCGGGTTAAAGCACAGCACTAAGAAGCTAAACCTATTTCAGCACTTGTTCAATCCCCGCCCCGGAGGGGGGGGACCCACATGGCGTGGCAGAACTCTCCTGGCCCGCCTGCTGCTCCCCTCAGCAGTGTACTTCATCAGTCGGCCTATTCTGCTCCCCACTCCTTCTCTGGTGAATCCTCTTACCGCCCCTGCACGTCTGGCCGGTACCCCAGCTCTCTATGCATAAATATAAATCTTTAAACAAACAAAAAAGAATATAGTGACTGTATAAGGAAGAACAATTAGTATATCCCAAATCATTCTTGAATTATTCATAACTGCAAAGCACCAGTTTAGTACCCTCCCTGGTAGCGTAACAGGTTAAAGCACAGCACTACAAAGCTAGCCACAGCCACTTCAGGAGTTTAATCCCCAGCCAGGAAGGAGACCGACATGGCGCGGCAGACCTTTCCCGTCTCACCTGCTGCTCCCCTCAGCAGTGTACTTCATCGATCTGCCTGTTCTGTACCCCGCTCTGTCTCTGGTGAATCCTCTTACCCTCTCACTATCCCTACATCTCTGGCCTGTACCCCAGTTCTATATGCATAAATAAATCTTTAAAAAAAAAAAAAGCACCAGTTTAGAGAACATCAATGTCTGCCCCCCTCCTGATGAATTTATTTGCTCCTTCACCAACCCAACCAGCCATCCGCCTGATACCAGTGTGCCTAATTCCAGCTTCCTGGCTGGAGTCTTCATCTCAGAGGACTACTCCGCCCTCTTCCTAACCCCCAAAGGGCTGATTTGTTTCACCCACCACTGCTCTCACCTGGAAGGGGGCTGCATCTGGTTGGTTCAGATAGTTTAAGGAGGCTGCTCGCTTCATATTGTTGCTACAATGTAGAGAGAAAGAATTGAAACTCATTCTTTTCCTTGAAAACCCCTAAAGCTGTGGGACTCTAGGGCCCTGCCATAGGAAATCAAATCACTGCCTCCCCACAATTTAACACCACCCCTACACATATGCACACATTCACACGTGCTGTCTCTCACATACACACACATACCTACCTTCATCACAGACACTTCCTTGGGTATCTTTTTCCCTCCTCTGGTACACTGGCTATTCCTAAGCACTCTCCAATCACTCCTAAGTTTCTCTCCAAGATACTTTCTCCTCCAGAGATGAGGAGCTGAGAAGAGTTGGCTGCAGGCACTGACTTGCCTGCTTTGCCATCTCTGGCCTTACTGTGTACCTGGAGGGCCGATGATCTGTCCCCTGAAGCTTCCTCACCAGGAGTTCACTGCTTCTCCGGAACACATCCCGGAACCTGCCCAGAGAGCCACTCCTTTGCAGGGCCCCACTGCCATCCTGGTGGAGAGGGTGGGGAACAGAAGCTAAGAGGATCCCACACAGACTGGTTTCTAAGTCTACTCTTGCTGCACATTACTCCCCATTCCTGCCCAAACCCCGTGAACTCTGTCAAAAGCTGCCCACAGAGGTCCCCTGGGCAGGATGGGCTAACTGAACTTAAGCAAGGTCACATGTCTTTGGCCCCTACGTGGACAGTCTCAGAGTCTCACCACCAGCAGCAGGAAGGACAATGATCCTACTTACCCCTGACCACTCCACAGCCACAGAAGCTTCCTCACCTCCCTCGAATTTCACACTGCCCCCAGGGCCCTCCTGGGAGGCTCTTCCACTGTCACCTTCCCCAAGCAGCTCTGCCACCTTGGTCTGGCTAATGGGGTCGGTGCCCTGGAAGGAAAAAGAAGAAACTAGGACTTTCCACTACTTAACTGCTCAGAATGGAGCTTCCAACTTTTTTTTTACTACCACCTACATACAGTAAGGAAAACATTTTCTTTGTGACTCACAGTCACCTTTTGTATTAGCAGTATATTCCTGCATTTGGGTATATCATAGAGCTATATACATGGCCCACAATGAATTGATTTCGCAACCACTAGTAAGTCAAGACCCACAATTTAAGAAACTCTAATTTTAGGGTTCCTGTCACCTCAAACCTCTCATCTATATCACCCATGCCTCCCCTGAGTGAATTCCTCAAAGGTCAGTGTGAGAAAATTAGTCCAATTTGGGGCTTCCCTGGGGTGCAAAGGATTAAGTCTCAGCACTACATAACTATCCGCAGCCACGGCAGCATGAGTTGGATCCCTGGCCAGGGAGCTGACCCACATGGCACAGCAGGCCTCTCCTGTGTGGCCACCACCACCGGCCCTGTATTTCTGGCCTACACTCCAGCCCATGTATGCATAAATAAATAAAATCAATCTTTAAGAAAAGAAGATTGGTCCAATTTCATGAAGTGAACTTTGAAGTTTGAGTTTTGACCACAAAAGGCAGGTGGGGTGGGGGGGAAGAGCATGATTAAAAACCACCACCAGAGGGCCTCGCTATCCTCTTCCCAATCTTTCTCCTTAGCCTCTCCTCCCTCTTCTGTGAAGATGCAAAGAAAGCCTTGGTGGTCTCCAGTCTCCAGATGCCAGCCTTCCCCGCCCACCATCTTCCCTTGTGATCTCTGACCTGTTTCCGGGAGCGCAAAGCACATTCCTCCAGGGTCTCCGCGGCCTCCAGCTTTCCCTGACGTCTGTACAGAGCACCTAGGTTTCTCAGAGTGGTGTTCACCGTGGGACTGTGGGGGGAGAGACCAGGAAATGAAAAGACAACAGAAGAGAGAGGAAGCAGTTAAGGCCAAGGGAAGGTCAAAGGGAGAAGGAGGGCCTCCATGGTGGCCTAGGAGTTAAGTTTAAGAACTATCACCCCAACAGCCTGAGTTTGATCTCCAGCCACCGAACAGACCCACATGGCTCAGCAGACCTCTCCTGTCTCACCAGCTGCTCCCCTCAGCAGTGCATTTCAGTCAATCTGCCTGTTCTGCTCCCCACTCTGTCTCTGGTGAATCCTTTCACTCCCCGTACCTCAGGCCTAATCCCAGTTTTTCTGTGCAAAAATAAATAAATAAATCTGTTTTAAAAAGAGAATGAAGGGGCCCTCCCTGGTGGCTCAACAGGTGAAAAGCACAGCATTATGAAGCTACTGCAGCCACTGCAGCACAAGTTTGATCCCCGGCCAGAGAAGTGACCCACATGATATGGCAGACCTCTCCTGACCCACCCCTGCTCCTCTCAACAGTGTATTTCAGTACATCTGCCTGGTCTGTCTGCTCCCCACTCTGTCTCTGGTGTATCCTCTCACACCCTACCCCCGCACCTCTGGCCTGTACCCCAGTTCTGTATGCATAAATAAATTTTTTAAATAATAGAGAGAGAAGGAAACAGGCCCAGTGGGCTTTGACGGAAAGCACCATCAGCAGCTCACCTGCTCACTTTGCAGGCCTTGTACCAGCCTCCATATTCAGCATAAGGGGTGCTGCCCTCACGGTGCCTGCCCTGCAGGAGGACAGAGGGAGAGGGGAAGCCAGAGGTGAGAGAAAAGAGAAGCTGGGCAGGCCGGTGGGGGCTAGGGTAGGGTACAGGCTGGCCAAGCACTGGACACCTGGGACTGGTGCCCGAGTGGGAAGCAAGGGCTGGGCCGCTGCAGAGTAAGACAGAGGCGCTGGTCCCCCAGGCAGGGAGCCCCACTCACTTTGCTCATTTCCTCCCGCTCCTCTGCATGCATCCAGATGGGTTTGTGGTCATCTGGGGGTGACACAGCAGGTGGTGAGGTTAGAGAACAGAGCTGGACAGTATGAGGGGACTCAGAGAACAGAGCTAGATGAACTAAAGGGTTCTGACTCCCCTTGGGAATCAGTGTGGCCTAATCCCTGCACCTTTGCACTACATTTCTTGTCCTCTATATCTCCTTCCCCTGCCCTTACCACTCACCATCCACAGACCCAAACTCCTGCACGTGGGCACGGGTCAGGATCTCTTTGTAGAGTATCTCAGCCTCAGCATATTTGCCCTGTTTCAGGTAACAGGAAGCCTGGGTACATGAAGGCAAAAAAAAAAAAAAAAAAAGCAAGAAATGAAGACAGGGTCTGGGCCAGCTCAGAGATTTCTACTTCTTAGTCTCTTTATCACTCTCTCCAGAGCAACTCCTCCTACTTCCTCTCCTAGCTACATGGTCAAGGGCATTCTCATTCTACTCACAGAGGCTACCAGTGAATGAGATACACCCCTCACCCGCAAGGGCAGCCCCAGAGAGGGGCGCAAAGGCATGGAGTTAATGTACAGCCAATGATGCCTCCAGATGCCAGGCCCAGTGGCCTTCCCCTTCCCCCCTTACCAGGTTGTTCTTGGTTCGGGCTACATTAGGGTTGTCCAGCCCCAGCTGCCCCTCATAGATGGCCAGTGCTCGCCGGTAATAGCGTTCTACAGCCTCATATTTGCCCTGGTTTTGGCACAACAGGGCCAGATTGTTCAGCTGCTTTGCCACATCTGGGTGGTCAGTGCCCAGGACCTGAAAAGGGGCACAAGAACCATGATGCCCATGACCATGAGTTTGTGTGCACACTGGCACATGTGAACACGCATACATGGGGGGGCAGGGGGAAGGAATGACAAAAAAGGAAATAAGGCAGACATAGTGGGGGGTGAGAAAAAAGTCAGAGAAGAGGACAGACCTGAAGAGAGGGGGTAGCAGGGGAAGAGCAGCAGGGAAGACTGGGGAGAGGCCCAGGCACCTTTTCTCGAATCTCCAGTGCCCGCTGGCACAGCGGCTCTGCCTCCTTGTATTTGCCTCTCTTGCCATAGAGCACAGCCAGATTGTTGAGTGTGGCAGCCACCTGGGAAGACAAGCCTGTCCCCATCAGTCGTTGGTGCTGCAAAGGACCTAGAGAATTGGAGGTCCTTCACAGCACAGCAAGGCCACTCACTGCATTGGACTGTCCACCCTAGCCAGAGGCGTGGTGAGGAAACTAGGGAGTAGGCTGAGGTTCTCTGGGGAGGGGGTGGTATCGCCCTCTAGAGGATAGCGGCCTTTTTTTCAGTTGCTATTGGAGACTGGGGCCCTTATTAACCTTGGGGGAAGCAAGGCCCTACAGCTATTCTGCATAGGTGGGGGAGCTCTACCAGCTTCTGCATCCCAACACTAGATACAAGCTCTGAGGCCCGCCCAGTGGGACGTCAAGACAGGAGTCACACTTTCTAAGGTACACCATTGCTGCCTATCACCAATCATAACTCACAGTCAGTTCCCTTTCCAAAACATCCTCTTTCTCTTTGACAATCTACCAATTGTCTTGGCGGGCCACCCTACTGAGGTTATTTCTCTCTTCACATCCAAATCAACTTGGTCTGTCATTATTACTTCTTTTATTTTTTTTCCTTGTTTTACTTATTCTAAATCTGGATCTTTACCTCATATCCACTGATGCTTCTATCAGTTTTCTAGCACTTTTTAACACAGAACAGCTGTTAGCCTGACTTCTCCTAAGTCTAAAGTTATGTATCATATCTAGTATATCTATCTTCAAGCATAGATGTACTGAATACAACTGTTACTGTACCATATTTTCATTTGATTGTAGTGTATTATATATATTATACTATTTTTTTACTGTAATTTATTTTATTTCTCTCTTATACTAATAGGTTATTTTTTACCTTTTTCTGGGAAACTTTATAGGTGGGTAGGTTACACTATTTATGAATTCATAATATAGAAATGCTCATTATAAGGAGTTACTGGGTTTCGAGAGCTGACCCACTGGCCTTGGGAGATGACGCCTGCAAGAACGGAACCCTCATGCCTCCTTCCTGAGCATCCCTAGTAAGCAGGCTGGTGGCAGCGAGGGATAAGCCGAGAGACATCAAAAGTGTACAAGAGCAGAACAAGAAATACTGACAGCAGGGTGGTCCCGGCCTAGGGTGCTCTCCCGGATGCTGAGGGCATCATTCAGCAGGTGGGCAGCTTCCTTATACTTATTCTGGTCCCTGGAAAAGGGCAAAAGTGACAACTGGTTACCCTGAAACCTGTCCTCCAAGCCATTTCCTTCTCTCCTTCCCTTTGGGATGCCTGAGGAGACAGGGAGCCTGGTGTGAGCAGCCCGCCCGCATACTTGCACTTGGATGCAGAGAGAGCATGGCCATGATGGAAGAAGCCACTAGTTATGGGGTACAAGAGACAGAAAGAGACCCTCCCCAGAGGAGAGGCTTCAAATGCAAGTAGGCTGACACAAGTATTCTCTAGGGTCAAGGGCACAGCTTTGGAAAAGAGTGAGAAAGCCCCACATGGGGTATACCTGGCCAAGGCCAAGAGGGGACCTGTGGCGAGGAGGAGTGGGCGCCAAAGGAGGGTCAAGGGGCAATGTGGAGGCAAGAAGGGCGGTACTCGCCGATACACCAAGGCCAGGATGTTGAGCATGGTCGCGACGTCAGGGTGGCCACGGCCGGATGTGCGCTCCAGGTCCTCCAGCGCCTGCTTGCAGAGGGGCACGGCTACCTCATAGCGACCCTGGGCCGCATACTGAATCACCAAGTTGTGCAGTGTCCGCAGTCTCGCTGGAATCTCATATCCACTGTGTTGGGTGCCCTGGCCACGGGACACTAAACCATCCCAGAAAGTGAGCAGGACATTTTCAGAGGACTCCTCCTTCCCCCTCTGTTATCCGCCCCCACCCCCCACCTTGTTCCATGCCTGTGCCCGCCCCCCACCAGGTTCACTCAAGATCTGCCTCAAGAGCCATTCTTTTGTCTGCTTTCTTGCACCTGTACACATAGTTCATTCAGTGATATTCATTCATTAAACAAACATTTGTTCAGTAAGCATAGGGGCTGTGCCAGAGATAAAAAGATAAGAAAGACTTAGTTCTTTGCCCTGAGAAGTTCATGCTCTTCCAGTTCAGGGTCCTTCGCCCACCTGACTGGCAAGGACCTGTATCATTCTTACCTCCTGACCCCTAGGGACCCCTAGTCCCTAGCACTGCTTATCAATGTAAGTATTTAGTAAATGTTAATGAACATCAAGGGGGAGACTGAGGGAAAGCAAAAGCCCTGTCCCATTTGCAGAGGGAGTTAAGCACCCAGTGTACAGGGTGGGCCACAGCTGGGACCAGCCTCCCACCGCACCCTCCAATGCCAGTGTCACACTCACAGCCATTGCTGGAGTCCTCTTCTTCCTCATTGGGGAAGAGGTCATCCAGGGAATCCTTGCTGGCATCACCCTCCTTCTCCTCCTGGAAGGGAAGCAGCAGCAAGTCTGGGCCAAGGTAACTCCAAGAGGTTCTTTAAGGCCCCTCTCAACTATGAAGTCACTGACAGGTGGGGCTGAGAAGACCTAGTCCGTGTCCCTCACTGCCCTGGGAAGGCCAGCATCTGTCTTGCCAAGTTCAGGCCTCTCTTCTTTGTAAAAACCAGAAATACTTCAGCCAAAATCTCATGACTTTCCTTTCTTTCCCATCCAGTTACCTTTCTAAGCACCTTAAATCTCCAGCTCCCTCCTCCCCCTCCTCAGCTCTTACAATTATAGCCCTCTGCCAATCCCTGTGTGTTTACAGTGATTATATGTCTGTCCTGTCTTTCCTGTGGGCAGTGAGTGTGTCTGATCTTACTGACACATACCCAAAGTGTTTAACTCTGCCTGTCTCCATCATCTGACCTTGCTTACTCTGGCGTAAATGCCAACCCTCACTGTCTAACCTTCCGTGTCCCACCAGGCAGTGAAGCCTTGTACAAAACACCCAAACCCTCCTGCCCAGCTTTGCCAATGTGTGTCCATGGAAATTACCTCCTTTCCTTTTCTTGCCTCTCCTGAGTCTGGAAGTCTCCTCCTCTCCTTCATCATTCATTAAAATCCATCCCAACTCCTTATCCATTGAAATGAAAAAGCCCTACCTATAAACCACCTCCTCTGTGATGCTTTCTCAGACCATTCTAGCTCCCAGGAATCCATCTCCTTGGAATTCCACCCACATTAGCAGAATCAGTTATCCAGACTGAGCCCTCGTTGCTTTGCAAGACAAAGGGTGCTTCTGTCTAAGAGCCTTGACCTTATAGCTATTATAAGTTTACGAGGTAGGAACTCTTTTTTAAATATATATTTTTATATTTTTTAAGATTTTATTCATGTATTTTTGTGTAGAAGAATTGGGGTATATAGGCCAGAGGAGCAGGGACGTGGGGGGCGGGGGCGGCGGGGTGAAAGGATTCATCAAAATAGACAGATTTACTGAAATATGCTGTGACTGTTGCACCGTATGTGGGCTAGCTCCCCAGCCAGAGATTGAACTCAGGCCATCGAAGTGGGCCTTCACGGAGTCAGCACTGAGTCTTAACCAGTGGGCCACTAAGGAGGCCCAACAGGAACTCTTTTATGGTTCTTTATAGTACCCCTAAACACATCTTTTCGCTCTAAGGCGTAGAGATGAATAAATGTATGTTAAGTGAGGGTTAACTTTACACATTTTGAGAGCAAATCTTAGAAGACCCTGCTCAACTGGGCTATGCTTCCCCAATTATAGCTCTTAGGATCCTGAACTGTGCAGGTACTTATCTGTCTTGCCCCCACAAACCTGTAATTGTGAGAGTAGGAACTCTGTCTGCCCTGTTCACTGTTACATGCCCAGAGGAATGTCAGAGCCTGGCAGGTACAGTAGTCATTTAATGAAACATTGATTGAATGAGTGAACTGTTTTCCTATAGCTGTCATCTGGAGATGGTGTCAAGCCCTGGCCTCTGCCAGCAGGGGTGGACAGCACTGCGGGCCCATGCTGAAGGTGCAGCTGGCCCCACATCTGGAGTGCTGCCCTCAGTTGTCCCTGCCTGCACCCCAGCCAGTCTCGCCTCCGCAAACTTACAGCCGTGTGTCCATCCTCATCGTATTGCCGCAGCTGTCCCAGGAACTCCAGATGCTTCTTTTCCTCCTCCAGCTGAGCCACGGCCTGTTCACTGCGCTGCAGCCGTTGCTGTGTACCTGCGAGCTCGTCCCGAAGCCACTGGTTCTCCTGACACAGCCGCCGCACCTGAGCCCGCAGTTTCTGTTTCTCTGACTCCACTGTGCTTAGGTGGCTGGCTAAAGCCAGCATCACCTAGGTGGGGGTACATCCTGTGAATACCAGGCGCTTCTTTCCAGAAGTGGTCAGGGATAGATGGGAGGGAAGCCCAGTGAAGCCGTAATAAGACTGGCCTCAGCCAGGAGGTGGGGATAGATAGCAGTGATTCTACCTTCAAAATAGACCTATTTCTCACCATCTCCACTGCCACCACTGCAGGTCAGGCCACCATTAATTCCTACCTGGATTACTATAATAGCCTCCTCACGGCCCGCCCTGTGTTTGCCCTTATTTCCTTAGAGCCTATTCTCAACCTAGCAGCCAAGTGAGCCTTTTAAAATACGAAGTTAAACCACATACTCCTCTGCTCAGAACATTCCAACAACTTCCACCTCATTCAAAGCGAAAGCTTGTAAGTTCCACTTGACCTGTTCCCCTCCCCCCAGGCCCACTGCCTTTGCAAGGTAGGAAGCATTTTCTACCTTGTGTCCCCTCATTCATTCTACTGCAGTCTCACCAGCAGTGAACTCACTGGAGGGCTCTACGTTGTCCTTGCTGTTGCTCTGCTGAGGATGCTCTTCTCTCATTTATTCCCTAACCTCCTTCCCTGCTTTATTTTTACCTTTGGCAACAATCATGCTGTCATTACTTACTTGTGTATTAGTTGCCTAAAATTTAAATTTTTGACTATTGTGCTCAGTGAGCTATCTCAAATGTCTGGCACATGGTAGGGAATTTAATACACACTTGCACAATGAATGAATTTAACAGTCTAGAGCAGGGCCACCTAATCTCCAATCAGAAAACTGTTTATTACACTGAATCACATGACACTCACTCCTCTCTCTCACCTGAGCCTCACTCAGCCCCAGTTCAATGTTTTCCATGGAGCGACGCAGTTGCCGGGCCTTCTCATGCACCAGACCTTCTTCATGGCCTCCCTGCTGCAGACACTCAATGGTTTGGGACAGACTTTGCAGTACAGCCTGGTGTTCGCTGTGTAGGGCCTCCAGCCCTTGGCTCACCAGCCGAGTGCTTCCCAGGATCTCATCCTGGCTGAGCCGGTGTGCTGCAGGTTCATCCCGCTGCCCCAACACCAGGCCTGACATCCTGGTCAGGGGAACTTGACCGGGCTAGGGAGAAACAACAGAGCTCATTTGGCATTAAAAAAAAGAAGAAGAAAGAAAGAAAGAGAGGCTGAGCACGTTGGTTAGAGAATGGTGGCAATCCAAGTGAAGGACCAAGAGAGAGCAAGAGCAACACTGTGGTTTAATTGGAGAGTGACCAATGGGGAGGAGCCTACAACACTAAGCACAGAGTCAAGAGTGTGGACAAGGAGAAAGAGAGGACTTGAACAAGAAAGGCTAGTGGTCTTCTGGTGGTGAAGGGGTTAAAGACACAGTGCTACTGCAGCACAGTTAGATCCCCATCCGGCTAGGGAGGTGACCCACATGATGCAACAGACCTCTCCTGTCTCACTGCTGCTCCCCTCAGCAGTGTATTTCAGGTGATCCACCTGTTCTGCTCCCCACTCTCTGGTGAATCCTCTCACTCACCCCCCTACACCACCCCCACACCTCTGCTTACACCCCAGTTCTTGCATGCATAAATAAATAAATCTTTAAAATAAAATAAGAAAGACTGTAGAAAGAATGAAGATGCCAGCAGAGGGACAACAGAAAAGAAGATGGAGAGCTTGGGTTATGAAAAGATGAGCGCATGGTGAGGACACAAGGGGTATTTGGTGAGAGCTGCAAAAGCAATGGGGCTAAAGCAGACAGGAAATATACAAAATAGTGCAGAGATGTTGGGGGGGGGGAGGAAGAGAGGGAAAAGAAAGGGAGCCTTCATGCCAGGACACACATGAGGGGACCCCAGAAGGCACATGGTCTTTCAGGCACATCTATCATCCACTGAACTAAGCCAAACCTGGTCAGCTGGGCTTCTTTCCACATTAGCCTTCATACCTTCCACCCCAGACCTCAGGCTGTCTTCCTACTTCCTCAAAAGGGCCTCTTACCTGTGTACAGAATACAGCCCTTGGCTACCCGACTCAGGCAGGAGCCGGGAAGAAATTCTGCTCAGCAGCCAGAGACTCAAAAGGATCTGCTTAGCCCAAAGTCCAGAAGTCCAATGTTCCCACCTCTTCGTTCACTTCGCAGCCACCCAGAGGCCCTGGCACAGAGCCCCACCCAAGACAAACACCCTCCCTCTACTGCCTACAGGTCTTCAAGATGACCCGTGTCCCTCCTCTGCCAGAAACCAACCTCCCAACCAAAGCCTGGGGAGCTATTTTCTCCCGAGAGATTAGATCTGAGACCTGTGGCAAGGGGCGTGTCTGAGAAAGGGTAGGGAAAAGACCGGGTCCCTCCAAGCCTAGTCACTTGCCTAGCTTTGTCTGTCAGTCAGCTACTAACAGGCTCTGCGAGCAGTCACTTTAGGGTGCCTCGCGGGCGCCTGATGAAGCAGGAAGAAAGGCAGGTCTGCGGAGCGGCTTCAGGTCACCGGGAAGTGGGGCGCCGAGCGCTGTCTCCCAGGCCTGGGGATGTGACTGGGGAGTGTCCCAGGCCAACGACCGGCCCTGGGGCCCAGAGTGGGTAAAGACAGCCCGGTGACGGACAAGGGAGGGAGCGGAGCTACCGCTGAGGTCCGCTCCGCCAAGGACCTACAGGAGCCGGCAAAGCCGAGGTCACTGAGTCAGTCGGTAGCGCAGGGGCGGGGCAGACAGTGTGTCCGTCTGTCGGTCGGGTCACTGAGGGGCGGGAAGACTCGCGGGGGGCGGGGTTTTTTGAGTACAGTTGTGTAAGGTCGGTAGGAGGGGGTTTGTTCAGCTGTCCGGGAACGCGGAATAAGAAGCAGCGGAACCTCAACCCTTAGCCCCAAAAGTACAGCCAAGCACTCACCCGCAGTCTCTCGATCTGGCTACCGAACTCGCCGGTACTGCCCCTTTAAATTCATCATGGCTGCCGCTCGAGGCAATTGTTTTGACGGCTCCGCAGGGCGGAGCCTGTGGTATAGTCACGCGACCCCAGTTAAGCTCTATGATTGGCTTTGGTCAAGTGAAAGGCAAAAAGGAGGTGTGGCTCCAGCTGCTTTCGGGACCGAGGCCCGCCTCCTTGACGTAGAAGAGAGCGACGGTATTTGCCTCCTTTAGCGTCATCTGTCAGCGCCGCGAAACCTGTCTGAAGTGTATGGTGGCGTCCTGAGCCTGGTGGAACCTGACCACCTTCATGGCCCTGCGGGCACTAACCCGCGCTCTGGGCTCCCTGAGCCTGACGCCCCCGTCCGCTGTCCCCAGCCAGAGCCTGCTCCCAGGTTCCCAGGTAATTCACCTTACCCGGGAATAAGGCTGTTTCCTTCCGGGCCGCGAAGAGGGGATACTCTGAAAGGGGAAGCCAGAAATGTGAGCCTGGTGAGGACTCACGCATGCTGGTGACCTCGAATAAGTCACTCTCAGCCTTAGCTTTCAGTTCTGTTAAGTGTTGCTGTTTTTTCGGACGAGATATTAGAATTGAAAGTGACTTACAGAACACCATTGTACACTTTCAATAATCAGTGATATTCATTGAGTAACTATCATAAGTCAAGCATAAGTAATAGATGTTTTAAATAAGTGAGTTCCTATTAATCACTCTACGAATTGTTATCCCCACTTTACATATGAGAAAATGGATAAATGGTGCAAGGTCATACCCAACTATTAGAGTTAAGGAATCTGGGCCCTTAACCATTAAGGATGTTACTGCTGATATTACCGAATGTAAGGCTGGACACCATGAATAGGAGCCTAAATGAAGTATCATAAGGTTCTTAGTGGGCAATTGGTGAGTCACAGAAAAGTTGTACATCTTGCTTTGCTGGGTAGAAGATTGTCAGATGCATACATAAAATTCAAAACCAAAACAACTGGAATTCAGTTGGGAACCGGGCAGACATGACCCCTCTCCTCCATTCATATCTGAAAAACTCCCAGGAGCATAAGGTAGATGGGCAAAAGATTTTGGTGTTGATGGTGGAACGTGGATGTGTAGAAGTTACCAGCTCTGCAAAAGGAAGTTGTTTAGGGAAAGTTCCCTGTAGAAGGGGAGTTTTGAGTCAGATTTGGAAGGAGATGCACCAATGCATGACATTCCATTGAAGAAATACTTCAGAGGTGAGTGAGAGGATCAAATGAGGAAAGGTAATGAATACACATACACCTGGGTAAACATTCTGCACTGATATTTGTGCAAGCTGTGATGGGTGGAGTTTTGGACAGCTGGTCTGACACTTCAAGGAAGAATTGGGCTACAATTAAAACTTTGACTGTCTCTCCCTTTGTTCTCTGATACTTCTCCTTCCAATTAGTGTTCAAACAAAAGAGCTTTCTGTTTATCTCTAGGTGACAAGTAATGCCCTGCTCCAGCTGCCCTTTGCCTCAATGTTGCTCCCCTGCCGCCCAATCCTTACATCGGTGGCTCTTAGTGCCAACTCTGTGTCCTGGAAAAGTCGTACCAAGTACACAGTTACACCAGTGAAGATGAGGAAATCTGGGGGCCGAGACCACACAGGTGGGAGCAAAAGCAAGAGGAATTAGGATAATAAAGGAGGCAAACTAGAATCCAAGATCTGTACAGTAATACATATGTTAATACACTTAACACAGTAATGTATGTTAATACATAGATTACTATCGGTATAGTAATACGTCTGTTAATATTGTAAGGCAGAGAAATACAATTTAAGAGCATTTAGTAGACTTCTGCATATACTGTGTGTGCAAGTCCCAGCAGAGAATATAAAGTAACAGGGCAAGTGGTCTGTGCACCAAATGATATTCTAGATAGTTGAAACAACTGGCCATACACAGGAAGTGTCATGATGACAGTTTTCTTCAAAGCTTCAAAGGTTACCAAAGTTGAAATTGAGCACTATTTACTTGAATTAAGCACTGTTACTAAATTAAGTTGGTAATTTGAAGAGATTTTTATCTGGAAGTTAGTTTCATAATCATAGAATTGTTTTTGCCAAGCACTCTATAGGTGTATCCCTACCCCTACTACCCTAATGTGCTGTTCAAATTGCTTTACTCTTTTGTTTGTGTGTCCTAATATGGGAAGCACTGCCTCTGCTCAGAGCAGACCTGTTCCCCTTGCTGGAGCTGACTCAGCTGATTCACTGTCCTGACCACAGGCCGAATCCGAGTTCATGGTATTGGTGGAGGCCACAAGCAACGTTATCGTATGATTGACTTTCTGCGGTTCCGGCCTGAGCAGGAAACCAAGCCAGGACCCTTTGAGGAGAAGGTCATCGTTGTCCGTTATGATCCCTGTAGGCAAGTTTGGGCTATGGGGTGATGATGGCATGGCTAAATGACTGCTCTGTGGCTTTTCAAAAGATGTGAGATACTTAGATGGTCCGCTCACCTGTCCCTCACCCTTGAACAGGTCAGCAGACATAGCTCTGGTTGCTGGGGGCAGACGGAAACGTTGGATCATTGCCACAGAAAACATGCAGGCTGGAGATGTAATCCTGAACTCTGATCAGATAGGTCGAATGGCAGGTGAGAGATGGCCACCCGATGTGGGGTGCAGGATTGCTGGGAGGCTGCAAGAGCTCTGGTGCTGATGAAATTCTGTCTTCTAGTTGCTGCCCGGGAAGGAGATGCACATCCTCTGGGGGCCTTGCCTGTGGGCACACTTATCAACAACGTGGAGAGTGAGCCAGGCCGGGGGGCCCAGTATATTCGAGCTGCAGGTATGAAGAAAAGAGCAACTTGAAAGTCTTACAGTGGGGAAGGCCAGGGGGACGTGAGGTCACAGTTCTGTGAACCCATGGCCAACGAGGAAAATGAGGGTGCTTGTGTTTTGACCTAAAACTTAGGTGCCTTCTCCTTCAGTGTTATCTGTTCCTAAATGGCAAAGCAAGAATGGTGGAGGAGGAGGGGAGGGTTCTGTAAACTCTGCTACCACCTCCTTCTCTGTGGAGAGTGCAAAGCTGCTTCTCCCTTCCCCCAGGAACCTGCGGGGTGCTGCTAAGGAAGGTGAATGGGACAGCCATCATCCAGCTCCCTTCTAAGAGGCAGATGCAGGTGTGTATTGGGGGAGGGGGGCTGTCTTCAGGGAGGAATTTTGAGAATATTCTTTTCCTGGCCAGGATAGCTCCCAGATACTTTGTGCTATGAAGTTCCATAGTTGGATCTATCCTTTTCAGCCACATGACAAGGCATGCTGAGGCTGGTACCATAAGGAATAGAGGGAAGGAAGTGGGACCTACACTCAGGTTTCTATTGTGTTAAGCTTTCTCCCTGCCCCATCCCTTCTTTCATGGAGTATATGAAGCCTCCAGAGTCTGCAGCTCAACATTGCCAGGCTTTCTCTCCAAAGTGTATTCTCTATCTGCTTTCTTTGTCAGGTGCTGGAAACCTGCACAGCAATAGTAGGGCGAGTGTCCAACGTTGACCATAACAAACGAGTCATTGGCAAGGCTGGGCGGAACCGCTGGCTGGGCAAGAGACCGTCCAGTGGGCTCTGGCATCGCAAAGGGGGTTGGGCAGGCCGAAAGATTCGACCGCTGCCCCCCATGAAGAGTTACGTGAAACTTCCCTCAGCTGCTGCCCAAAGCTGATGTCTGGACTCTTAATAAAATTACTTCCAATTTTTATCTGTTACTGTTTTTGAGGGGACTGGGATGGTACATGCTGCACCCAGTAAAGCAAAGGAGCAAACAAGTACGGGTAAGAAGAAAGGAAAGAACAATGGAGCAAGACAGACTGCGCCTGTCATTTCCAGCCAGCCTCCTGGCCTCAGTTCCTTTATGTGGGAGGGATTTGGGTGGGACGATAACGACCTCCAAGGTCTTTTCCAGTCTTGACTTTGGGAAACCGGGAAGGCACTTCCTGTGGCAGGAGGGAGGATAAAAAGGAAGAGGAAAGGGCGGCACGGAGGAAGAAGGGAGGAGGAGGTCCCAGCGTTGCCGAGGTGGCACCGGCGGCTCCGCCCCGCGCTCTCCCAGGGCCCCAAGCTTTCCGCTGGGTCTGGCGGAAATGAACCACAGCGCCAGGGGTGGGGTGGGGGTGGCGTAAGCTGGGCTGGGCTGGGCTGGCAGCGTCCGCAGGGGCTGGGACCGAGTTCTGCCCCGCCCCGCCCCGCCCCGGAGTGTGGTGCGAGCGGGGCTGGCGGTGACAGCGGCCCAGCCCCTGGCGCTGGGTGCCTGCGCGCCACGCCCCCTGCCTGCCCGCCTGTCCTGCAGAGGCACGCCCCCGCCCGCCTCTCCGCCTCGACCCCTTCAGGGGGCCCAGGCGGGGCCCAAATCTCCGCCAGCGGCCGCCGCCATCGCCTGCGCCACGTCCCTAGCTCTGCGAAGGACAGGCCTCGAGCCAGGACCCCCGTCGACTTCTGAGGTGGCCAGAGCCCCGCCGCGGCCCCCTGCCCCTACCCTGGGTTTTCCTCCGTCTAGTCGCGCATCGACCCTCGCGGTCCCCCATTCCACCATGCCTTGGGGATTCTGGTTTAACCGGCCTACCCTCCGGCCCCATCTTGCCGCGCGTCCCCCAGCTTTTCGGGATTTTGAACCCGTCACGAAGCCCTATACCTGTCCTTCACCCATCCGATCTCCGGTGGGCGAGAGATCGCCAGGGTTGTCTGGGCCTGGCCTCTCCCCAAGGCGTTGCCACTCCCGTGCCGCCAGTCATCCGCTCCTCTAAGCCCATGGCCCCTTGCACCCTCATTTCACCGGCAGTTTTCTCTTGCCCCTGCAACTCACACCTGTGCTCTTCCACTGTTAGAGGTAGCACCCCTATACCCAAGCCCTCACCCCCGCCTCCCTCCCCATCCCGCATTTCACATGCCCCCTTTCCAGGGTTGCTACCCCCACCCCCAGGCCTGTTGGATTCACTTGTAACTCTAAGCCCGCCTTACCCGCCTTACCCTCACTACCCGCTTCCCACTGCTCCAAAACAACCCAGGCTCCAGGCTCCAGGGTATTGGGCCCGCCTACTAGCAACCACATTTTGTATTCTTGTGGAACAGACAACCTCATGTTCCTCTGCCTAGGCTTCATCCCACTCGGTGTGCAGTAGGCAACTCCTGGGCTCTGCTTTACTCTGCCCCCACCCCACTCCCCACCCCC